AGAGTCACAAATAAGCATATAGGGGAGTTTACGTATTCTCGTCAATCTAAGCAGCGTCCGCACTTCTGTTAGCATTTTTTCAGCGTCACGCACATATATGACGTGTCTGTTTGTTAACATTCATCTGCTGCTTGCTTCTCTATCCATTCCAATCGACAGAATTTTTCAAAACGGTTTGAAAGCGTTTTTACAACGCTCCAAACTTCTCAGGTGAGTGTGACTATCGGCAGCCTCTTTTTCTTCGGCAACCTTCCCATTAGAACTGCGTGTTAACCAGCTGTTCTATTATCGGCAACTCGAAATCAGCCCCTTTTTGCAGTGCGTATTCTTCATTTGAAGATAAATCTGGCATAATAGGATTGCTCGGTCGTACAAATATAATCATATTGAGGCTGAAAGACTAAAGAATCGTTTGGATACATTCAGGGAAGTGTGTTGATGGGAAATCATAGTGAAATTATCGTTTAAATTTTGGTTGCCGAAAACAGTCAATGGGTGCCGAAGCCGACATTTACCCTATATTGAATAAATGCTGTATAACAGTGTACAATGCTGAATAAAAAGAGTTGTCGAATTATGTGCTGAAAAAGCTCATTGAGATCGATAGATGCACATTTATTCAACTGTTTGCTCTGATCTGATTAATTTACTTATTAAAAGCTGTAAAAGTGTTAAATGTCTTCCCAATTCAACGCCAGAAGTTTGATCTAATAACAAACTGAATAAGTGTAATTTGTACATATATTGACACTTTAATTCGACTGTTTTCAATTGATTTAATAACATGCTTTATTAGACGTCTAATAAATGTTCTCCAGCTCCTTTATTAGATTTCATTGCATTACTTTACAATATTGCTGAATAAAGGTCAATACAGTCAGCATAATAGCTCTTATACCACTATGCTTCCATGTTGTAATCACATGATTTGTAAATGCTTTATAAACGACGTATTAGATTCATTATTCGACAACACTGATTCAATCTAACAACAAGGCGAAATCAGTAGAGTAGTGGTTACCGTTTCCGCTTTCCAATTAGAAGGTCGTGAGTTCAATCCCAAGCTTAACCTTTTTTTTATTTGTGTTCTACATCTAATTAATTTAAATAGTAATCATCGATCACATGACTCACGATAATGAATGCATTTATCTAGTTCAAAAAATAACCTTCCTTGGGATTGGAGTGGTGAAGAGGTAACATTGGTCTCATGTTAAACAACGATGAATGAATTAATCATTCCCACAGGGCCTTGAAGGAGCTAGAGTTGCGATCGGGAGTGCTGATAGGTATTTACTTTCATGCAAGCTTTTATTGATTATTGAGTTTCCCATATGATGAATTCTAGGATAGCTCAGATGACAAGGCAAGCGGCTGGTGATCGGAAGGTACATGGTTCGAATCCCATACAACGACATGTATAAGTATTTATAAATTTTCTAATATCTGTGTGATGCGAGCAACGTCAGAAATAATGGATACAATTACACTTAAGAAACACCCTGCCTGTCCCCATCACCTCTTATTTTCGGGTTAATTTTCCCACAGTTGAATAATCGTTTAATAAATGTATAATAATGTCTAATTAAACGTTACTTCACATGAGAATCAAGCGTATACAGAGCATCACTGTTTAAAAAAGGAAGCAGTGATGTCTAATAAACGCTGAATAATCAAAAATTTTATCGTATGAACTCTGTTACAACTCATATAAGTCGAATAAAAGCTTCTCGACATACCTTATACAACACCAAAGTAGTTCAATGTTGTGGTTGAATAAATTCTCCAGATTTGTGTTAACAAAGCCGGAACAGAAGTTGTTATTAAAAATAGATCAAGTACTATTAAGCATGCAGTTGAATAAAATGGCTAAGAAGTCGTTTCTTCAATAGACGATTGTTTGTTGGGATCATAAATGGATTGCCCCTAATATGAAAAAAATCGATTTGATTTGGTTGCATCGAGGGTTATTTCAATGTTATTTCAAATTTTCATTTTTTTAATATCTAAATTCGATTTCTACTAATTCAATAATAAAGTTTTGAAGAATCAATGTGACGATTGACTCACAGATGGCGAGTGGGTGAAAATGGTAATGACGTTTTGATATCTGTCAAATGGCATGATTTTTTTTTTTTTTTGCACATGATCATTTTTGTAATTGTAGATCTAAAACCTAGGTTTCGCATGACCGGTTTAAATGAAATTACTAAAATCATAAAATTTACATAGATTAATGGGCGAATGAAAGCAAAGCCTAAACTGGTAAATGCGACACTTTGTTTTAAGATCTACAATTACAAACATGATGATGTACTAATGTACGTCATTACTATTTTCACCCACTCGTCATCTGTGAGTCAATCGTCACTTTGATTCTTCAATAAAGAGTATGATAATTCCAGAGTACAACCATAGAGGTAACTCTAAGACTAGAAGGTCCCGAAATAACGTGCTCAACTTTTTGGCTCAGCTCTGGTACTCTCTTCGGTCCCAAGCTAATCGATTCACCCCTCGAAACATAGGAAAAACCAATAACCCCTCATTTTATCTGTCAAACTTTCATAGCGAATCAAAACAAACATTGCGTAGTACTAGAATTTCGACTAGAATAGGGTACGTTAATCGTTTGCTTGGGACCAATAGGCTACTAAAGTGGTGAGCCAATTTAAAATCGTTAGTTTCATATTGATTGTTGGTACAACTATTTATGACATTACACAAATTACTGTTTAATTATCTTTAAATTACCAAATTATTTTCCAATTAGTAGGAAATACTGAAATTACTCATAAATTACCTACAATTATTTTTATTACATTGAAATTGCTGAGTAATTCATAATTCACTAATTATTTTAATAATTTGTGTTAATTTTTGATTACCGATCACCTTACAACCTTGGTAGAAACCCCTCGCATTTTATCTAAGAGTGATTTCTCACGTGACTTTTTTAATAGTCCAATCTACATTGATAGATTCTTCTTTAACCACTCCCTTTTTCGTTAATAACTCGGCTCCAAAAACATGTTAAGCTGTTCTTATCGTTCAATGCATTTAATAATACTTTCTTTTAACAGACTATGTAGAAAAAATAACCCGAAATACGAATGCAGCCAAGTTTTTAACGTCTGAGATAGTCGATGAAGAGAATCGATCAAATTGGTCTATTTGAAAAAATTTCCTGTAAGTTTTCGAAAGAAGAATTCGACAGTAGGGCCTAATTCCAATGATCGATTCCCTTCGTCGATTTTCTCTTTTGTTAATAACTCGCTTAGATTAACATGGCTCGGTGCGTTTGCTTTTGCCTTTGATATCCAGTACAAGCTGTTGCAGCACTGTATTGGACAAATTTTAGAAAATTGCTTTCCTTAGTTGTAGCACTTTAAAAAGAAAATCGACGAAGAGAATCGATCCTCGCAGTTAGGCCCTTATACAGGCTCACTGTCGAATTTGCATTGTTGCAGCCACCGGTTTGAAATTTTTTTCTACGAAATTCGTTCCACCAGTAGTCTTATTGCAGCTTGGAGATGAATGAGAAAGATTAGGAAATTATGTGAAATTATTGAAAAATAAAAGTCCGAGGAGGGGGGTGACAAAATCGAGTCATTACTGTATTATAAAAAGGTAGCATATAGCGTAGACAACCTCACGACCTCGCTCCAGCATGCAATGATTCAACCTTCACCAAATGTTCGTAAAAAACAACACCCACCCAGTTCCATCCAACCAGTAGTAGTGGTGCACGCGCGCTTTGATCGAACGTCTTCAATCGCCCCCAAGCGTGACCCCCAAAAATGCGATTTTGAACTATTTTATGACTACAGCGCTTCTCTTCGTCTCCTTCGGTTACAGTTGAATCATTTTAGTGTAAAAACAAGCGTTCCCCCGCAGTGCAGCTTAGTGACAACGTTGTTCTGTTGACTATCGATTACCGACACATGATCATGAACTCGATCGTGTCCACTTTGTCCAACAAGCAGGTTCATGAATCGCGGACTTACCAATGCACGCTTCATAGTTCAAAGTCCACATTCATGCTCTGCTCTCGCGATTCGACGACAACGCGCACATCATAAAGGGTGCGTGTACAGATAGGCCCAACACCAAGTAGCTTTAACGATCCTCGATCAGCTGATGGTGCGGTCTACTACCTACTATGTATCAACACTGCAACGGCAACCTGTGCGCTCGCTGAACGATGCTAGTGATGTTAGTAGGTAGCACGATCGCACGAAATACAAACAGCACAACAAGGAGGCACGGCTCTCGATCATTAGCACGCGAGTGAGTCGCCCCCTCGCTTCATCAACAACATCATCTGCGATCAAAGATCGACGAGAAGTGGATTGCCAAGTAGAAGGGAAGGGGGAAGTCGGTGTTTACTATTGCACGAACCGGTACCCCGGTGTACTTTGAACCCAATAAATTACACTCTCGATCTCGATTTGTCGAGGAGAGCCGTTATGGGGAAGAAACCTAGTTTGTAAGGTTGACTCTAATCGATACTGATTTAAATACAGGAGTCCCCAGAAAAGCGCGGTGGGTGGACTGCAATTTCTTGGCTGTCCTCGATTCAATTGAGCTGATTTTTTGTACAACTTGCCCCGAAGAACGCGTTACACGCCGAGCTCTACCAATCGTTTTTTAACCAGTCGGTTTGATTTTTTGCATGTGAGTAGTGTAAATGGAGGTCTAGTGACTCACACAAAATCAGAACTATTGACTGAAAAGCCTCCGAGAAAAAGCGGTGGGTAGAATTCAGTGACGCGTTCTTTGGGAGAGCTGTATCTGATTTTAGAATCAACCATAACTCAACTGGTTGGAAGACAACGGAGAAATTGCATTTGCTGGATGACTCCATCCACCGCGCTATTCTTGCGATTCCTGTACTATCAGGTGATGGCTGCGTGGTGCATTTGATTGGGAACGGCCATTGCGAACTTTGGTATGGTTGGGGATGTAAGAGACAAAACAATTAACGCCATCGACACACTTACTTGCAACCGCACCTTGGCGGTGTCGAGCGGGAATGTGATGAAATCTGCCCAGCACGCGGCTGTTCCGGCTGTGAGCAGCTTGACCGGCACCGAAGCCTGTAGCGGTTCTGGGCGTTTTGGAAATTGCTTGTTCATGATGCTGATGCTGGTGATTGGTGGTTTGTCTGCCGTACAACACTTTGCAACGTGTTTTCACTTCCAGAGTGACGAGCTTTTGTTTGACGAAAGTTTAACAAATTGAACACTTTTTACACAAAACAGTTGACTGTGAGCACTATTATCCACACAAGGTATAATTGCTCGAAGTGCGAAATAGGTCCTACCGATACGACACAGTCGTGGTAAATGATAAAGGCCGGCGGTGTTCAGCTTTGCGGATAATTGAAGTCTGCAAAAAAGGAAAGAGAGATAGACGGATTATTAGACAATCAGACGATGAATAGGTGATGTACACTTTACAAAGGCTATTATTTGCTGTTAGGGTAGGTTACTTGATATTGACTATCATTTACACTAAACGTTCGCTATCTGGAAGGGACTTTTTGATTTTTGTAGATTTAACAACTGTATGTACAGCAACTTGTAACCGTGTGTTACAAAGTTTATATGATTTTTAATTAGTGCGTAAAAGTTTATTGTATATTGTTACGTTTTTATTAGATCTTGGTGTTGGTTAGTAGGGTTTGTTGCATTAATTAAGAATAAAATTCATGTTAGTTAGTTTGTAGGGAATAGCTCAAATTTTGAGCTGTATAACAGTTAAGTGGGATGAATAACGGTGGTTGCAATAACAAGGAAATTAAGGCGGGGAAATGGAGGCAGGATTTTTTGGATTGGAAAAGCTGAGGGTGAGAGGTTACCCGGCCAATCAGAACGACTCAGCGACTGAATTCAATTGAGTCTCCTATGTTAAAGAGCCTGAATTTAGGCTCTTTATCCTATGTCATGTTTCGTCGCGGAGTAGAATGAAATCAAGCTGATCATTGCATTAGGTCCTAAGTAACATTGATCGATTATCTTTGTCTACTTTCTCATTCGTTAATAACTTGAGCACTTAGCCGTGTCTTGTTGTGTTTGTCGTGTTAGACGCTATATAAAAGCTTCTTTTATCGATCTGTATGCTAAAACCACCTGGGAATGTCTTTACATGGCCGTGGGGATGCACAGAGAAAGTCGACGAAGCAAATTTGTCAATTAGGACCTAATGCGATGTTGAGTTTGAAATTATCTCGTTTAATTTCTGTCACTCTGCTGATGTTTTCTTTTTCTAGATAAGGTGTTATGCTTTATGCATGATGATATTTAGGTTGCATACATGTAGGAGCTACCGGTGTTATAATTGATGGATGTGTACATTTAGGATGCATTTAATACACATTTATAAGGTTTTCACGTTCTGTAACTCTTGTTTTACGTTACTCATAACAGGAATTCAAACTTCACGAGCTACCAATTGGCAAATCAAAGTTGGCACGCGTGGAGAATAGAAGAACTATGAAAGTGATGATGGTTTCAAAATTTTCCACGGGGAAGTATACGAGTGCAATCTTAAAATGCTTTTATTTTGTGAATGGAGCATTTTATTTAAATCTGGTTAGTGCTACGTTAGTAGAAAACTTCAGGACTACTCAATAGACATATAATACAGAAAACTTAATTTCTTTTCAGATTTTTAGGTGTAAACATAGACTTCCGCTTTTCTACCACTGTAGCAGTAACCAGATTTAAATAAAATGCTCCATTTTCAAAATAAAAGCATTTTAAGATTGCACTCGTATACTTCCCCGTGCAAAATTTTGAAATCATCATCACTTTCATAGTTCTTCTATTCTCCACGAGTGCCAACTTTGATTTGCCAATAAAAGAGTTAACGAGTCATAGTTCGCGATCTATTTCATCAAATATCGGGAACAAAAATTTGTGCGAGGAAGCTAGAGCATAAATACCTTTTAACATACGCTCTCTCTTGCAGATGTGTCAAAGTAAGAGAGATATTAGTTCCTCTCAATCTCAAACAAGAAAGTTTGCTCGGGAAATAACGCTTGGTGAAATTCCCATCGATAATTTCCTTAGTGAAAACATCTCACTTGCGGTAATGAACTTTTGGCGATATTTCTAACACTAGTAGCCTATAAGATTCACTAAGGTGGGGCAAAAGTTTGAGTTGAGGCTTCGAAGCCCATGAATAATAAAACTTAAAATTTTGGTACTTGTTTGTCTCCAAAAAAAAAAACACAAAAAATAGGTCATGTATTCAAAGAACCATACATGACATTCTCTAATACAAATGGCTATAAACGAACGATAACCTAAATAACAGAACTCTGCCACAAACCCCGAACACGTCGTTAAGCAAAATAACCATAACCATAAATAACCATAATGATTTAATTAGGGTTTGTACCAACTTTTGGGACGTACAAGAAAAATTTAATTGTGAGGGGGTAATTATTATTTCAGTGCATGATTTCGTTTTTCTTGTAGATTATTTTAGGACTATCAGGCCTTAGATGCGCCAGCAGTTTGAGTCGTGTCACAAACCCATGCAATCAGTTACGCATGTCAAAAACGCATTCATTTACTCTAAACAATCATAAATTAAGCAGAATGTTACAAAAGCCTCGAAAAAATTGTGATCCTATTGTATTTATTGTGAAATACCCTACTTTCGAACAAATTTCGTTGTTCACCAAGTTGTGATCTGGGCACAAAAATGTGATTTCTTTAAGACTTTCTCACCATTATGGGGTATTTAAAGATGTGTGGTAGCAACACTTCTCAAAAACTGCACTTAAGTTTGTGAACTTTTGTCCCATTGCTGAATCGAACTTTTTCCCCACCGTGGGGCAAAAGTTCGTTTTGAACACTCTTCTAAAAAAACTGTTCTAGCTACGAATGAACTTAAAATTTATCAAAGCTTTGTAAGAAGAAGTTGGAGACCTTGAATTAGTGATCATTTGTATGGAATTAGTTTAATTCCAAATGCTTGGAGTTTTAAGATATTTAAAATTTTTCAACTAAGGTCGAACTTTTGCTCTACTCTACTTTACTGTTCAACACAGATGCTGGGTATTATTTACAACAAATGATCTACTAATAAGCAGTTCCATTCCAAACGCCGAATCGGAAAAACTCGACCTTTTCCGATTTGCATGAATCTTTCCATATTTTTTGTTAGGGGCAATCATTTAAATGCTGACTAAAAGTAAATTGGTATGCCCCTCGCGCGCCGCTAGCACATCTCTAGTATTTGGAATCGAAAATCTTTGACAGTTGTTTGTTTACACTTCTATTGGCGTTGACGGCACCGTCGAAAAATTTGCTCTTCCAGCAAATATAGACAGTTTCTTATGGGAATTTTCGGTGGAGTGAAAGGATAGTACAAAGTCCGCCATGTTTCACGCACAGTCTGACGTTTGCTTATGGATTTTCTCATAGGAGTAAAGAGCTACAGAGTCGCCGTCAACGCCAATAGAGGACAACTGGTGCAAGTTTGATCTAAGTAGTCGATCGCGTTCAGAAATAACGTCAAATGGAACTCGAAAGAAGAAAAACATATTGTGCACAAACACCTGGAAAATCCAGAGTGGTCTGGTTCCAAGCTAGCTAAAGTGCTGAAGATGCCGAAAACAACAGTTTGTCGAGTGCTCAAAACCTACAAGGAAACCCTGAGTGGGGAAAGTAATCAGCGGACCTACGAAAAAACTGGAACCAGGGATCGTCCGCTGCGCAGCAAGGTTTTGAGGTGCGTTAAAGCCAATCCCGGTCTTTCGATCCGAGATGTGGCCAGAAGGTACAACGCCAACTTTCAAACGGTGCGGAACATCCTTGCCAGGGAAGGATACAAGTCGTACAAAGCCATTCAACCCAAACCGGCACATGAAGCAGAATTCCGTGACGAAACACTAGGGCTGCACTTTGATCGATGTACGCGGATATGTCAAACTCGATTTTATGTAGTTTCCCGATCAAAAGTTTTACAACGCGACTGGACGTGGGGATGTGCCGGGAAGATTAAAGTTCGTGTTTGCCGACAAGTTCGCGAAGAAGGCAATGATTTGGCAAGTGATTTGCAGTTGTGGCCTGAAAACGGAACCATTCGTCACATCCTCGACGATGACATCCCAAGTTTACATCGAAGAATGCCTGAAAAAGCGTGTATTGCCGTTCATCCGCAAGCATAGGGGCAAAGTCATCTTTTGGCCCGATTTGGTCAGGTGCCACTACTTCAAGGTGGTTCTGGAGTGGTGTGCTGCCAACAAGATCGATGTTGTCCCCAAACTAATGAATCATCCGAATTGCCAGGAATTTCGACGAATCGAAAAATACTGGGCAATTTCCAGCAAATGCGTGCGAAATGGAAGAAATGCGCTGATTCCGTGTCCGTTTCCGTTTTGTCCGTGCGGGCGCTGATGGGCTCCATCAAGAGGAAGGTTCGAGATTTCGTTCGAACTGAAGAAATGTAACCATCTAATGCTGTAATTTTAAAGATTTAATATCGTAATATCGTAATAATAATATCGTCAAGCAACCATTAATGGACTTTTTAGACTTATTGAATCACGACTTACAGGTCTTTTTGTGCGTACCAATTTACTTTTAGTCAGCCTTTACATTTTATAAAGATGTACCTTTAAGATTTGAGATATTTCAGATTTTTTTTAAATTCTCACTTAAAAATTACAAAATAAAAATTACCGAGTATATTTTTCCCAGAAAGACTTTACTTTTCTGGACAACTTTGTCTCAGACTAGTGCGTAATACAGTTAGGTTCAATGAGTCATTTTCATATGAATATGAACTTCCATCTGCCTCATCATTCGCATTGAGAAGTAAACGAGTCACTGACAGTCGAGTACTCCGTCAGTAGCTCAGTCAGCACGTTAATTCTTCCGTGATGGTACCCAATCCTTATTTTGAATGACTGAGCGTATATTTTCTATGGAAAAATGGCTCAATTGCATGCTGTGTGAGCGAATGCAAGCGGTGTGAGTCAGCTGTTCGTGAGTAACTGAATGTTTCACAAGATCAAATTTTTGCAAAAAATGTTGATTATAGCTCATAACACACAGTTATGCAAAGTTTCGTGAAATTGGAAAAGTCGTGTCGATTTTTTTTTTTATTTTTAGCGGCAACGTAGCAACATTTTACGTGGATAGGTTTGGAAACAGGAGTGCAAAATTTTTCTATAAACTGGTCATATTTCAAATCAAAAGAAATCTAGTTCTTGAAGTCGATAATTTTTATTACTAGCTATGTCGGATTCAAAACAAATTTTACTAAGTCTTAGATACACAATTTTGCAAAACTAAAAGTTTTAAAAATTTGTCCACGCTCAAGACCTTGGAAATCTTTAATGTGCCAGAAATTTTAAAATAAATTTCCCA